CATCATCATCAACATCATAATGTTGTTTTAACCAAGATCTCAGTTAATTACAAAGCAAACAAACCTAGAGAATGTGGAAAATACATGGTAGAGGTAGCTAAGCTACGTATGAAAGTTAGTATGAAACTTGAAGCAAAATAAATTGCAGTATCACTTTAGCGTCAGCAATATATAACCATGAAGTGAGACAAGGAAAACCAGAAAGGACAGTTTTACTGACACAAATAAGTAAACATAGAAATAAAATCCCCAAAAGGAAATGAACACACAGATGAAGTGGCAATAAACAAACTGTACACAAGATGAACAGCCAGAAATAAATTAGCAAAAACCAAAATAAATGCCAGCAAGCAAGGCAGATGCAAAAACCCCCAAGCAGCTGTTAAGGAAGAGAAAAAGGAATTGAGCAAATGTTACATGTAAGTGGAAGAAAACCCCACTGCACGGCATTTCAGGGCTATTTCCTAAAATACCTTGATTTCTGTGAATTCTAGTGGAGTATTTTAACCATGCAGACAGTATAGGAGGACACCAGTTGGTGGAGGCTTTAGGTTATCATTTGTTCCCATTCTTACATTTGTTTTCTTAAAAGAGCGAAGGCTTTTCCCCTGGGCATATCCACTGCTGAATATGTTGCACTTTCCCATAAAATCAAACATTCGCGGTGATGCCCACAGCAAAGCCTTAGAGGCCTGTATTTGCAAAGTTTGTACAATGGAGGATTCAGCTTTTGGTGGAAAAATTGGTGCTCAGAGACTGCTGGCAATGCTGTCAACCTGATATAGAGTATCTTTAATAAATTAGTTAAAAACCATCCTGCTTTAGTTTTGTTTTTCTCCTCTTTAGCTCTTCCCTGTTATTAAAGCTTCAGTGCTGGATGAAAACTTTACTTCCTGGACCATACCTCTTGGGCTATCATGGGGGTTGTTGGAAGAAAAAAAGTCTCATATATTTTTTCAGTTGGCATATGTATTTTCTCTAAACCGAAAGATTCCATGTTACTTTTTTTGATATTAAAATACCTTTGCAGCAGAGAAAGTTAAAAGTTAAGAGTTTCAAAAAATGAAGTTTAGGAGAATTATGATACTTCTGTTTCCATCCATTTTTTTTTCCTTCTTATTTTTTTCTCTACACTTACACAAAAGTAGTCCTTTGGTTGTGCTATTTCTTATTTGAAATTTTGTGCTTTTCTTCGTTGCCGTGGATGGCATTCATCTCTGCCAGAATGTCTACTCCATTTGCTGAAATTCCTTTTAAGAGCAGCTGTGATATTTGTAAATGTTGGGTTAAAAGTCCCATTCTCCAGATACCAAAGACACGGTCAGAAAAATGGATCCAAGCTCATTTTGCTTTCTAGTGTTGCTCTCTAAGCCACACTTCTTTTATGGCAGGAAACTGAAGTGCATAGGCAGAATTCGTAGAGATTGGTTTATACCGGATCACAGGTAAAAAGAAAATCATAGGTTAAGTAATTGTTTTGGAAGAAGAGCTGGAAACACCAAATTTCTTTGCCTCTGCAGGTTATTTTATGATTACACCGCCCAGAAAAAAGCTTGATATAAAAGACTTAGATTGGATATAAGACGGAAGTGCTTCACTGTAAGGGTGGTGAGGCACTGGCATGGGTTGCCCAGGGAAGTTGTGAATGCTCCAGCCCTGGTGGTGTTCAAGGCCAGGTTGGACAGAGCCTTGGGTGACATGGTTTAGTGTGAGGTGTCCCTGCCCATGGCAGGGGGGTTGGAACTAGATGATCTTAAGGTCCTTTCCAAACCTAACTGTTCTATGATTCTATGACTGATCAGGATGTGAAGGACTTGCTTAGAAAAGTGTGTTCACACAGAAACTGATTGAAGACCACCTTTTTTAGATCATTTCCATCTTCTCCTTATGATGTCCATTTCAGCTACTTTCTTGGCTAGTCTGGCATTTCCAGATGCATTGTACAAAATAAGAAGAAAAAAAAAGATTGTTCAGTGGTTAGGGTATTGATCAATTGTGGGAGATGTGAGTTCAATGACTTCTGCCAGTATTGTGTATGGTGTAATGTGCCATTGTCTTACAAAGATGCTGTGAAGAAAAACCGTCTCAAAATGTGTGGAGGTCCTCGTTATGGCAGAGTTGAGGCCACTAAAGGAGTCTTGTGGACACGGTCCTATAGTGCTGGGAATTTGACATCACACAGTGTGAAATCTGTGCTATCAGAGGCAGATTTTAACTTTTTCTAAGCTTTCCGAGATTTTTTCTTCATGTGCTGCACACAAAATTTACATCTTGCTCAGGCTAAATTTATGTATTCATTAGAAGCATGAAACAACTCATGCTGCATTTATAATTCATAAAAATATTTGCACTTCCTATTATGCATGTCCAAGCAGTGTCCATGATCCATAACTTCAAACATTTAAGCTGTAAAATAATTGGGAGTCTAGTCACTCCTTAATTAAGGTAACCTGGAAGTATTCCATTTAATGACTTCATAACTGGCATCTAAACATTTACTTCTGTCTTTTTGCTTTTAACTAGGTCAGAGGTGTCTGCAGAAAGCAGTTTTGAGCAGTTGTCTATATGTATTGATTTTAAAGTGCCACTTGAAAAAGTTGAGTGCATCTGAATACAGAAATATGGGTACATTAACATTTTTATTACAGCAGCTATGGAAGATAGTATCATCCCTTTGGGTTTTGTTTATTGTTTAGGGATGCTTATAACAAATGACTGTCTCACAAATACAGAATAAATGCATTTTGGTCATTTTTTTGTCTGTTGATATAAATGCTTTGTGAGTGTCTCTGGAGCATCCTTCTACGTATGAAATGAGGCAGGGCTATTGCATGGGGAAATATAGTACAGAAGTGCTGGACCATCTTTTAGTTAGCAGACTAGTGGGTGAGGCTGCCTGTCTATCCAAGTGACAGAAACAAATTATATAAAGTAATGACTCAGTTGAATTTGGTATGTCATTGAACAATGCGGTCACTTGAGCCTAAGAATCTGACACTGGCATTTCAGTTATCAGTTTCCCAGCTTTTCGCTGAGATTATGTTTATGCTTTACCCAACATCATAATAGAAAAAAAAGAAAACCCAAACCATTTAAATTTGGGTTCTTGAAACCAATGTCTTGCATTGTAGGAACTCATTGTAAACATAACCTGCACTCGTTGGTCAGTATTCGGTAAGGAACATTTCATGGAATGATACAATTTCCATAGAAATTTTGCTAAAAATATGTATATCTTCGTTTCAGGGTTCAGTTTTAGAGAGAGGAGGCAGAACAGTTTTGCTATCCTTAATATGAAACTCTTAATGTGAAAGTCTAGGGTTAAGATCCACAAGGAAGAGTGAAAGAATTGGAAAGGTCTAGAAAAGAGGAGCCATAATAATGATTCTCGAATACATGAACAATTCTGGCCCAAAAATAAGGAAACGAGATGTGGTCCCAAGGTTTTTGTGGGAACATCTTGCAGTGGTTGAACAGAAAAGGTGCCATTATAATCTTAAAATGAGTGGAAAACCATTCGTAATCCTCACTCCAGGCTTGAATTGTGACTAATACAGCATCAGTAGCACTAAGATGGTCCTGGAGCTGTTATTTTAGTGTTTTCCTTAAAGCAGGAGCTTTGATGTGAATTCCCATTGGAAGTAACTTCTCATGATAATTTTTGAGGTGAACACTTGCGTAGGATATTGGTAACGTCTCTGCTGATACACATGCTTTGGACAAACATTGCTGCAAATTTCACCATCACTGGAAATTAGGTAGCTCCATAACTGTCTCATACTAAAAAGGCTTCCTAAGAATTTTCTTCATGTCTTTCAACCTATGTTCAGTACTTTAGATGTTTTAAAAGTGACAAGTTAAAACAAAATAGTGATGACATAGGAAACCGGAGTAAGATTCTAGATTCACTGAAACACTGCATTTTATCTAGCAATTTCTACCAGCAAGCAGAAACTGGATCCCAAGGCACCAAAAGTTTGTCTGCAAATCCATTCTGATAGACAATATATATTTCTAGTGCTTGCCTTAGTTCTGAAAGATAAACTACTCCCATCTAAAACTGTTAGAGAGATTACCACAAAGCATTAATTCCAGCACACAAGAGGAATTTGTGAGGCAAAAGGAGGGGATTTTTTAAGAGATTCTTGGCAAAGCTGCTTCTGCTGTCCTGTCTGCCTGCAGTGCTTTCAGTCAGGAAAGAACTGTGTTCTTCCAGAGCAGTGTATGAAACAGTATCTCAGGGGAACGAGATGGTTAAAGAAATGGGAAGCAGTGTTGATGTTTTGTCTTTAAGGTGCAGTTGCACTATACATAAATCATCAAACTTATTGGAATATATATTGCATTAGGAAAAAGAATTGACTTTTTGAAATTTTAAAATGTAAGAAAACAATGATGGAGAGACTGAATTAGAATCAGTGAGGAAATGGCATGGTATTTTACAAGCCTGACAAGTTAATGTCTGAATCAACATCTTTGTACAAAATCTCAGGAAGAATAAAGGGTGCTTTCAATCTAAGAGCACACTCTGTATTCATTAAAATTGTAGATTATTCATATCTCTTGTAGAAGCCTAGTCATTAATATTAAATAAGTCAAAATGTTCAAAGGAGTTCTTTGGAACCTTGTATTTAAATAGTACAGAACAAATTCTGAAGTCAAATTCATATCTGTAATTCCCACGATCCATAATTCTTCACACTTGAGAGCAATTTTAGCAGTTTCAGAAGGTATCCAGGTAATGTGTGTTGAATAGTATCTAACATAGGGAAGAATGATTTTGTAAATTGGATTTTGTAAAACACAACCATTGTAATGGGCCTGTGAATTAAAGAACATGGAGCATGCCAGTATGACAGACAGCTAAATACCGTGCTTTAGTAAGCATTACTGTGGAAGAGTTATGCTGACAGGAGTGAAGGTGCCTTCTGCAAAGAACCCAGCATGTAAATGTGACATAGAGAATTTTCTAATGTTTTGCATTGTTCTTTGTCTTCTAGAGTATCAGGGCTTCAGGGCTGGTGCTGCTGGAAACCATTCTTTTTGGATCACTTCTTCTGTACTTCCCGGTAAGTCAAACTATAGCTTTTTTGAAAAATTACATCCTTGCTGACATCTTAATACATTGAATCACCTTGGTGAACGTATAAATGTCAAAACTATTTATGTAACGATTAGTTTAATCTGACTGTAAAATGGGCTGTGTTCAGTGAGTATTCTTAAGAACGCTGGAACATTTTCCTATATTTATAATAATTCTCCATTTTTAGTTTAAGGAACTTTCCAGTGTTTTTTGCCTAGAAGTTTTTAGGTGTTCCGGGTTCAGCTGAGTTTTTGCTTTGAAAGATGATACCTCTCTACACTGTCTTGTGGGAAGAATACGTAAGGTGTGTAAAAGGAAGACACTGATTATACCAAGTATTTCCCTGAAATGTAGTATAAAGTGTAATTACTTCAGAGTATTATTGGCATAGATTTTGGTGTTTCTGAAGCTATGTGAGATCTGCAATACCACGTATTTGGGAAAATGATGTTATCCCTATGCTATAAGTAGGAGAAAAATTATTTCACAGTCATGTGAGGAATATATCACAAAAGTCATAGAAATATCATTCTTTTCTCTTTTCAAAAATCCCAGAAAACATGAGTTTGTTAGTTGCCACATAAAACCGATATATTGACTAGATAAAGGAAGACACCAAAGTGTACATTGAATGAAGTTGATAGCATGCAGATCAGGAGACAGAAAACAAAAATGGAGTTTTGGATTATTTTCCTATTCTGTTTTCTTCAGTAGTCAGAATCCTCTGTGCTTGCACAGACCATCATTTAGTTAGTGAGAAATTAGCTGGAAAACAGAACTCCTTAGCAGTTGCAGAGCAAGTAGCAGATAAACTGTGGTAGAACAAGGTGTGAAGAATACCATAATAAACACAATCCCCAATGGAATTTTTATGCAGGGTGTTTTTTTATCGTGTGTGCCTTTCAGGTTCTGAAGAAAAAGTGTGTGCACTTCTAGGATAGTTTTATGTGGTTTTTCATCTTTCACTTTGCAGATGGCAGGAAGAAAAGTTTTGGGGTTTTCCATATTATTCCACAATTGCTTCTTTCATACTCTTTTCCAATGAGCAGAACAGAAAGCCCGCACACTGCTTTCTCGGCCTTTGTGGAAACGCTATGAAACATTTATAGAAAGTCACAACTTAAAGTGTTAACGTGAGGGGTTTCCTGTTCATGGCTGTCTCCTCTGTGCTTTCCCAGAAAACCCTGAGGCCTTGTAGTGGCTTTCCCAGCGAACTCTGGGACATTGTAGTGGCTTCCTCAATTCTGAAGGATGCCAGAAGCCTCATCATAGCTCTTGCTGTGTCTGCAGTCTGCTCCCCTGTCAGTGATTCCTCAGTTTCTTTCCTGGGTTTTGTCTTGGTCCTCTGTCTCACAAAGGACATCCTTTGGTAGCTGTCTTATCTTCAGGCTTCAGGTGACAAGAGATGGCCCTCCACACAACATTTAAATGCAGAGGGAGAAGAGAGGAAAGGAAATGGGGCTGGGAGGGAGGGGTTTGATAACCAAAGCATCCCCTCAGCTTTTCACTGATGTTTAAACATTCCCCTGCTTTTTTTGTACTGACAATTTAGTGTATTCTGAGGGAGCATCTTTTGCTGAAAATTCCTGATTAGTGTGTCTCCAAGTTGGCATATGGATTTCTGACTAGAGCTTATCCTTCTCTGCACTTTTCATTCTCATACAATATAAAACTGTCCACTGAGAACACGTTCTGTTAGACGCTAACATGCAAGTGTACAACCTGACTGCTCTCTTACAGCAGTTTTATGCTTCCACACTCTTTGCTGGGGCTCTCTTTCTTTATTACATAGGTAGTAACTGATCAGCCTGTGACTCCTGATCAGGCTGAAACACAGAAAAAAAGTTGTTTCTGTTTTCAAGGTGTTAGGGGAGAGATGTAGAGAGTGTGGTACTGGGAATTCATCTTAATTGTTCAGACAGAGAAATTAATCCTGATTTCACCAACTGCAAGAGTATGGTTTTGTAAAAAAATGGAGAAGATTGGGACTGATACAAAATATCAGGATTTCAACATCTCTTTCCTCAATGCACTGCAAGGAAGATTTCATCAACTCTGATCCAGGGCAGGGGAGTGGAACAATAAATGTGTGAAGGATGCAAAGCATAGCCAGAGAGGTCTATTACATAATCTTTAAGAGAGAGGAGCCTGTGTTTCTGCAAGGTGTGAGTCCTTGGAATGTGAACTCTTGACATTTTGCTGTACATGGGCAGTATCTAAATGTGCTTGCCTCCTCATTGTCTGGAAAAGGAACACAATGCAGAGCAAGATGGCATGAGAAAGAACGAAAGAAAACCTGATCTCTAAATGGAGAGTCTCATTTGTACCAGCTGACATTCACACTCAGGTTTTCATAGCAAGGTGCATAGCACAGATTATCAATTATCATGTTGATTATTAAGACACATACATGGAGAACAGGTCATCTTTTTCCTGGGTCATATCCATTGTTTATTCTTTTTGTTACTTCTTTCTGTTATTTGATATTTTTGTTTCTGAGAAGAGCTGGCAGTATTCTGTAACTCAGTGATGTAGTTAAAGATGGCATCTCTGCTGATACACTTGCACAGAGGTACAGTTATTTCAGCTATTTGATTTAGTTTTCATTTTCCCATAGAGGAGTACTTAGAGACTGAAGACTAATTGATACAGATCTCACCTTTTATGAACCTGCATTAGGTTATGTTTTCCACACCTAGCATGAAATGCAAGTTAAAATACAGAATGGTGTTCAGCAGTTTGATCCAGACGAGCATTACTACAGTATGAGCATCACTACAGTACGAGCATCACTACAGTAAAGTGTTCTTTAACATAAGGCTGTTTTTCTCTTTGTGTCTTCTCTTCAAAAGGGTAAAAACCAAAAAGCTTTACTTTAACACTCAACTAAGTGCAGAATTACACAGCTGTAATATAATTACATGTAATTTACATGTAATTGCATGTACAATGTAAAGAGATAAAATGACAGCATTTCAGTTCTAAATAACTCAAATCTCTGTTCTTTTAAGGATTTAGTGCAAAATTACATTCTTATTTAAAAAGCAAAATCCCCATACATTTTCTCAACACTGCTGTCTTTTGCGTCTTTACTCTCTCTCTGCATTTCCCTAATTCTTGCTTTTTCTAGAGCCATTTATCCAGTCTGTCTTGGTTTGTTTTGAGAGCCTTCAGCATACAAATTTCAGTGCGTCCAGAAGGGCTTTATTGCATCTTTGACTTTCCTTACCCTCCAATTAAACAGAAACCAAAACCTACTTTGTTAATTGCTTAATTTCTTTCACTAATCGTCATTGTTTTCATATCTACATGCAGTAATCTATTCATAGTGTAGTATCATTAATTGAAAAATAATATCACCAGCCAGCTGCTTTTGGTGAGAAAAACATCTGTTACAATGCCCTTGTAACCAAATGGGAAGTGCAAATGATGGTCTCCACCAAAACTTATTATTCAGATTTTGCTGTACTGATAACAACACATGGATCTTTCCTGAATTATAAGCAGGCAGATGAGCTTTGTCTATTATAAATGCATAGATTTTACCCAGGAGTTGCTGGGAAGCTGTCATTTCTGAGGCACTCATTTCGTACATTTTTTTTAGTTCTCATAGTAACATCTCTGATTTCCCTTTATTTAGTCTTTCCAATTATCAGTGGACTTCATCCAAATTAACAGTGGGCTTTCTAATTGATTTTGCTTATATTTCTTTGTTCTTAGATTTTGAACAGAGAGCCAAAAGCTGACTGTCTACGGAGGAGCCTCTTAACTTCTATACTTGGCATGTGATCGGAGGATTCTCATTACTTTCCTTTTCCAGAAATACTCACTATTGTTGAGGTTTTTTTTCTAACCTTTTTTTCCTAGCCTGTCCTAACTCCCTGTCTTACTAATGTTTGAAATACATCTTGCAACAACACAGATTTGAAAACTCTTTGCATGCGGCAAAGACCATTGAATAAAGTGAGCACAAGCACAATATTATGAAAGAGTAGCCTGTTAATTGCATTGGGAGTCCAATCTCAGCGGATTTTAGATGTCTTTAATGGTAACAAGTAGGAAAATAGGAAATTCTGCTTAGATACCAGAAAACAGTTTTTTTTACTGTGAGAGTGGTAAAATGCTGGAGCAGGTTCTCCAAGTTTGTGGAGTATTCATCCTTGGAGGTAACAGGAATTGGCTGGGCGCAGCTCTGAGTGACCTGATCTGCTTTGAGCAGGTAGCTGGACTAGATGACATCTGGAGCATCCTTTCAAATGCAATTTTTCTGTGAGTCTGTGTTTCTTATATAGGTATCCATAGCTGAAACAGTTGTATGCTCACCAAGTAGCTACTGAAAAGAAACTGGGTCTTTTATGACTTGTTTTAGACTTGGATCATGTCCAAGGCTTAATTGACTATAAAGAAAGCCTGGGGTGTTTGGTGATGAGTTCCACCCTAGGCAACTGATATATTAAAAATTTTCCACAGTGCTAGTCAACTTTAACTGAAACTCCAAAATGCACTCCAAAATTCATGCAGTGGTATTATATATTTTCCACAGCCAGTTATAAAAGTTAGTGAGTACCATGAAACAAAGAGGAAGGGAATAATTTCTCCATGTTCTTGACATAGCAGATAAGAAGTACTGGGTTTAAATTCCAGCAAGTGAAAGTTATATTAGCAAAGTGGGAGGAGAATCTTTGTAACAGTGAGGTTAGACCATAAGATGAACTAGTTTAAGAGGCAGCAGAGTATATTTTTAAAGACTATTGGGATTTTTCCCTTCAGTCTTCTCTTTTTTTTTGGCTTAAGAATCCAAATTCCTTGTCTTCACTGTTATCCCTTTTTCCAAACCTCTAATTATAGTGTGGCTATCTAGCTATAACTTCGGAGAAATGGAGCTTCTGAGTGGCAGTGCATTGACTTCCTAATGCTCATAAGGCAGTTCAGTAGGAAAGCCCGGAATAAACCCTGTTCTCAGACATCTTGTTGCATGTAATAGGT